GATCCTCAGATCTCAGCCTCCTGAGTAGCTAGGATTACAGGCGTGAGCCACCAGCGCCCGGCTATTTCATATTTTTTTAAGTAAGAATTTCAATGTTTTCTATAGAACTATATCTAGAAGATGCCCTAAGATATCAGCAAAAATTAAATGAAATTTAATTGAAATGTAAAAATTAAAGTGAAGATATACACATTGAAAAAAAGAATAAGGCATACTGGAATAATTTAAAAGCCAAAAATTTCACTTACAGTTCATCCCATTTAATAAGATAGAAGAAATTCTTATAAGTGCCAACCTTCTTTGATTGAATGGGTTTAAAAAGATCCTTTCCATTGTGAGACAGGGAACATATCAAGTAGTATTTTTCATAACTGAGGGGAAAAAAAACAGTAGTTTTGTTTCTATCTTGATAACACAAATTGGCCAACTAATAAAAATATATCAAAAGTTTTTCCCACAAATGGCTCATATACAAAATGCCCTGATCACTATTCCTTTGAATTAAAAAAAAATCCACTGCTTTTTAAATTTTTTGCTACTTTTTAAATTAAAAAAATTAACCACTGTAGATTCTATGAAAATAGAAAAACTGTATAGCCAATGGAGGAGAGAGAGGAATATAGGTCCCTAACTGCCATTCTCAAGGGTGCTATGATGACACCAGCTGGACAATTTCAATGTTGTATTTGGTTATTTACTACCTTCAACTTTCAATTGAGTGACAATGAAAAATATATTTATTTGTTGCATGTAAATTCTAAAAAGAAAAGAGTACAAAGCAGTATTTAATATTTTTTACAGGTGCTGTTTTCCTTAGCTCAGCTATTTTAACTAGAATCAGTTAGGCCTATCAATTGTGCCTGACTCAATAGGGCTAATAATGCTAGTGTATTGGGACATTTACATCCACAAGGACAGATGCTGCTGTGTTCTCTCATTAGACAGTACTGACTTAACTAAATTGCTAGAAGTAGAGCTGGGATAGATGGAGAAAGGCAAGAGTCTTGTGTTCTACTTGTATTTTAACTTACTCACAGATTTATAGGATAGTTACTCTATTCATTATATCATATATTTATGAGTCTAAAAATATTTCAAACTTAATCTCATTGGCTCATAAAATAGCCCGGCTAACTAGATGATCATATTTCTCAAAAACTTCCTTGTGTCAATTAAGTTCATATTTATTTTAATTTTCTTTCCATCTGAATTATCCATTTTTTGGTACTATCTTCTAATGGGTATTTTTCTCATTATTGTGTCCCTACATTTATTTGTGTGTCTATGTATATGTATGTGTGTGTGCATATGTATATAGGGTAGTAGTAAAATAGTATCTCAGACAACAGTCATAAGAGCTGGGTATGTAGCTCAGTGGTAGAATGTTTGACATATGTGAGATCTTAGATTAGATCCCTAGCACAAGAAACCATACACATACAACAAACAAAGCTATAAAATTCTGTGTGCCATGGTGATACACACCTATAATCCCAGAACTCATAAAACAGAAGCAGGAGGATCACTTAAGCTCTGAAGTTTGAGAACAGCCATAATATGATGAGCCCATGTCTCAAAAAATGAAATGAGCTGGTGCCAGTAGCTCACACTTGCAATCCTAGCTACTCAGGAGGCTGAGATCTGAGGATCTTGGTTTGAAGCCAACCTGGGCAAGAAAATCTGTGAGACTCTATATCTCCACTAAACTACCAAAAAAGTCAAAAGTGGAGCTGTGGCTCAAGTGGTAGAGGGGCTAGCCTTAAGCAAAAGAAGTTCAGGGACACAGCCCAGGCCCTGAGTTTAAGCCAAAGGATCCCCTCCCCAAAATAAACAAACCAGACACCAAAAGGGACAATTTAAATTTAAGTTCCAGGAACATACTGTTACCTTAGTTACTGTTGAATTCCCAGTAATAACAATTCTGCTCACAAAGAGGGCTCAGTAAATATTTATTAAATGATTACCCACTTTCAAGTCACATTTTTATTTTAATATAAATATAAAGCTCAATGTAAACGAAATTTGTTTGGTATCTTTTCACTAAACTTCATTTTATAGCATCAAATGACGATAAATAATTTCAGTACAATATTCTTGCCAGACTTTTCGGTTTATATAAAGTCATTCCAAAGACTGAAATATAATATTTGCTATGTCTTAAAGGCATTGATGGAAAAACAATAAAAAAGGAAAAGCCCTTTAAAAACAATTAAAAAAAAAAAAAAGGAAAGCCATTCAATAGAAGCTAGGCAGGGTGCCGGCCTAATCCTAGAACCTGGCAGACTGATGAAGAAGAATCATGAGTCTAAGGCCAACCTAAGTTACAAAGTAAGTTCATGACCTACCTTAGCTATATAGTAAGACCTTGCATAAAAAATACTGGAGCTATAATGTAAGTCAATGGGATATCATTTGCCTAGAACACACAAGGCCTTAGTTTTAATCATCAGCACCACCTTCCCCCCCCCTGCCAAAAAAATTAAAAAACAACAAAAAGTAATATCAAATCAATAAAAATATACATATATGTTCTTAGATGGACACTGGTGGCTCACACCTATAATCCCAGCTACTCAGGATGCTAAAATCTGAGGATCAACATGCAAATACAACCCAAGCAGATGAATCTAGGGACACTTACCTCCAACTAACTGGCAAAAAGATGGGATTGGAGGCATGGCTCAAGAAATAAAGCTGCCAGCTGTGAGCAAAAAAGCCATACAAAGCCAGGTGCTGGTGGCTCACACCTATAATCCTAGCTACCCAGGAGGCTGAGAACTGAGAATCACTGTTTGAAGCCCATCAGGATAGAAAAGTCCACATGAGAATTATCTCCAATTAACTACTCAAAAACCACAAGTGGAGCTGTGGCTCAAAGTGGAGGAGTACTAGCCTTGAACAGAAGAGCTCAGGGATAGCACACCCAGGCCCTGAGTTCAAGCCTCACAACTTCCAAAATAAAAAACAAAAATTGCCAAACAAGAGCCAGAGATCTGGACTTCAAGCTTCATTACTAACACACACACACACACACACACACACACACACACACACACACACACACACACACACACACACACACACACACACCAACAACGCAAACAAACAAAATAGGTGCTCTAAGAGAATTCAGAGATTAACAATGAGTAAGCTATGAATGAAAGAGACGAACAGAAAAGTTGTGAAATGTAGTCTTATCTATTGATTCTAAGTAATCTAGTTCTAAAGGAAAAGCAGAAAAACGAGCAATCTTGATAACAATTGTTCTGTAAGATTTCTGCTGTGTTTTTCTGCTTATTTCGTAGGTACAAGTGATACTTTTTACTGTAATGCTTTAATGGTTTCAAGCACATCTATTAATTTTTATAAAAATCCAAAAAGTGTCTAGTTATCTTTGTTATTATCCATTCAAAGACTCAAATAATAGTGATTACTGCCATTTGGTGAAATTATGAGTAACTGTTAGATAAAGCTGTGTCTATTTTCTATTAAACACTTACTTTGATACCCAGTTACTTGAAATTCCATGTGCAGCAAAAATAGTAAACTGCAGCTGTTCTGTTGTAGTCCAAGCTTCCTTGATGCTCCTGCTACTTGAGGAACAGTCTTCTGGATTCTTACTAGAATTTGCATGAAGTCTGAGAAGATCATAAATTGCTGCAGTTAATTGGTCCATGCATAACTGAATAGGATTTTCCTGACTCAATGAGCCTAGATTGAAAGAAAATGTTAATATAATTCCCTGGTAAAGCAATAATTATTACTAAAATTTTAAAAAATCTAAAGACATACCCCTATTTGAGTTTTTGCTAGTATCTCCTCCTCCAGATAGTGGTGTCACCTGCATATATACATATATATATATATATCAATTAGTCAGAAATTGCCCATTATATAATATAAAATGTTTACCTTTATCTTTGATATATGTAATTAAATTCTATGTCAAAGAAACTCTTGTCAGGGAAAACTTTCAATTCTCAGGGGAAACTTTTCTTAAGTGTCTGAAAGTTAATAAACAGTAAGTAAAAAGTGCAAAAGAAAGGAAAAACACCAAACTAGTAAACAGATGATGTATAAATTCAAGAAAATTAGAGGAACTGGAAATCACTACAAAATGTCATAAAGGTAAAACATGACTTGTTAAATGAATCAAGCTATTAATTTTAATAATTGAATTATTAAAACTTAATTCATTAAATTTAATTAAGTTTTAATTGGAAATTAAGAAATAAATATAAAACTTTTTCTCATATAAGAACATAAAGAAATTAATCTAGAATTCTGTTTAAATAGTAATTCAAGAAAACTGTTTATTTATTTATTTAGTGATGGTCCCGGAGCTTAACTGCAGGGCCTGAATGCTGTCCAGAGCTTTTTCTGCTCAAGGCTAGTGCCAGTTGCTTGAGTCACAGCTCCACCTCCAGCTTTTTTGGTAGTTAATGGGAGATAAAAGTCTCACAGTTTCCTGCCCAGGCTTGGCTTATAACTATGATTCTCAGATCTCAGCCTCCTGAGTAGCTAGGCTTACAGGCACAAGCTAACAAGGACTGATAAAACATAATTATTATTAAAGTTGAGCTCCACTCCCACCTACTCCTTTATCCAATAAATGAGAAAATGAATGAATATATCTCAGACAACATGAGGACCTATGTTTGTTGACAACTTCCAACTAATCTCATATATTTTTAATTTCTAAAAAAAGGCATATAAGAAAGAAAGAGGATCCAACTACCAATTTCTACATACCATATGAATGGATCTCTCTGAGAAATGAGTGGACCAATATACCGTACAGAAACTGAAGAATATACAATCTACACATTTTTTTCCTTCCTTTAAAATTAAAGTGACTTGTGAGACTCATCTTTTCTTCATCCAATCAGACATAATAAACATATCTATGAACACAATTTATCTAAACCCCCTGCCATGGAAATAACATGATGCAAAGCGCACACGCATGTGTGCATGCATGCGTGCGTGCGTGTGTGTGTTGGTTTTGGGGCTTGAACTGAGGGCCTGGGCACTGTCCCTGAGGTGTTTTGCTCAAGGCTAACACTCTATTAACTTAAGCCATAGCCACCTCCAGCTTTTCGGTGGTTAATTAAGAGTCTCATAGACTTTCTGGGCTGGCTTTGAACTGCAATCCTCAGATCTTAGCCTCCTGAATAGCTAGGATTACAGGTGTGAGTCACTGGCATTCTTACCTGAGACAGAGATTTTATTAAAGTCAAACTTACAACAAACATATGACAGAACATACAATGGACATTTCCATTAAGAAGACATGGTAGCTGGCTATTACCTTATAGGGTCTCTAAATTCAGTACTACCTTATACCTCCAACCAATTTAGATATGTTAGAGGTCCTGCTTTTACACATAAAGGTTTCATAGTTTAGCTCCCACCCATTTGATATTAGCTCTCAAAGAACTCTTTCAAGAAATCCCTCACCTACTGAAGGAAGTCACTGAATCGACTCAAAAGTAACAGTCGAAGTTAAAACGGTATTATTTTGTTTACCAGAAAGCAAAAAAATCTTCCAGTTTAAGCAAGTTGTGTCCACTTAAAAATACTTACATTAAAATACTTACATAAAAATACTTACATTAGCACTCTTACTCCGTGGAAGGTTTACTGCTCGCTTTAGCTTCTTTACTGATTCTGTAATGGCAGGAGTCTCTATGCCATCTAAAGCACTACAGATCTTTCTTACAGCTTTAATTACTTGATCTATGGCTCGGTGCTGGTTCTTTTAAAAACAAAATAAAACAGTACTGGATAAATTTTTTATATTAATAAATTTTTTTATTGTGAAAATACCGTACAGAGGGGTTACAGTTACATGAGCAAGGTAACGAATACATTTCTTATCAAGCATTGTTGCCTCCTCCTGTTTCCCCTTACCATCCCTGCCCTCCCATCTCCCCCCACCAGTGGCTTGCAGTTCTATGATTTACTAAAAGAAACTAAGGCTTGGTTAATTTTCACTTTGACAACTATTCATATGCAAATGCTACTAATATCACATTTTAATCAGAAGCAAACGCAACAATTCAGTAACAAAAAAAAGACAAAATCATTTTTCTAAAAACTAGATTTTGTGTGTGTGTGTGTCCATGAGTGCCAGTACTAAGGCTTGAATTTAGGGCTTGGACAATGTTCTTGAAGCTTTTTTGCTAAAGGCTGGCCTCTACTAGTTAAGTCACAGCTCCAAGTCGAGCTTTTTGGTGGTTACTTGGGGATAAGAGTCTCAAGGACTAGGATTCCTGCCCAGGCTGGCTTCAAACCACAATCCTCACAACTCAGCCTCCTGATAGGTATGAGCTAGCAAGATTTACCTTTTTAATTATCTCTCAAGAAAAATTCCATAATGAAAACAACTCTTTCTCCTTCCTATAAAAATATGGTATCAAAAGCTAAGTTCTTAGTCAGGCACCAGTGGTTCATGCCTGTAATCTTATTTAGGAGGCCAAGATCATGCCAGCCCAGGCAGGAAAATCCATGAGACTCTTACTTCCAATAAACTGCTCAGAAAAAGCCAGAAGTTGAAAAAAAAAAAAAAAAGTTCTTAAGAGACTGGTTATATATTACTAATACTGAGAATAAGTTACTTTCTATATAACCATCAATTTAGATGTCTTATCTCATTAAAAACTTTGCTTGAGGACAATTCTTCCGTACCATACTATTACAGATGATTTCACCTTGATCCAAACGTATACAAGTACAAATATAGCGAAAAATTATTTACCTGGTGAAATCTTTTTCCACTCTTGTAAGGGATATAATTTCTACAGTTTTTTTTTTTTCTTCAGTCATGGTGCTTGAACTCTGGGCTTGAGCGCTATCTCTCAGCTCTTCAGCTTAAGGCGAGTGTTCTACTGCTTGAACCACAGAACCACTTCGGTTTCTAGTGGTTTATTGGATAATTGGAGATAAGAGTCTTATGGACTTTCCTGTCCGGGCTGGCTTTGAACCATAATCCTCAGATTTCAGCCTCCTGAGTAGCTAGGATTACAGGTGTGAGCCACAGATGCCCAGCAATTTCTACAGCTTTTGTTGTTGTAGTTGGTCATATGGCTTGAACTATAGGGACCTGGGCACTGTCCCTGAGCTCTTTTTGTTCAAGGCTAGAGCTCTAACACTTTGTTTGTTTTTTGGGGTCCGGTCATGGGACCTGAACTTTGGGCCTGGGCACTGTCCCTCAGCTCTTCAGCTCAAGGCTAGCGCTCTACCACTTGAGCCACAGCACCACTTCTGGCTTTTTTTTCTTTTTGCTTATGTGGTGCTGAGGAATCAAACACAGGGCCTCTGGCATGCAAGGCATGCGCTCTACCACTGAGCCACCTTCCCAGCCCCAGAGCTCTAACACTTTGAACCACAGTTAGGATTACAGGCATGAGCCACTGACACCCGGCTTCTACAATTCTATATAGCACAATAGAATAACTATAGTTAACATAACAACTGTGTATCTCAAATAGCAAGAAGATTCTGAATGTACCCTATACAAAGAAACACTGATAGCTATTACCAACTGCCCAGTTCTAATCATTACAACATTTTTACATAGATTGAAATGCCATATTACATTCTATAAATACGTACAATTATTATACATCAATTACAAATTTTGAGGGTTTTTTTTGGGGGGGGGTGGTTGTAGGGCTTGAACTCTGGGCTTTGGCGTTGTCCGTGCGTTCTTTGGCTCAAGGCAAGTGCTCTACCGCTTGAGCCATAGTGCCACTTCCAGTTTTCTAGTGGTTTACTGGAGGTAAAGAGTCTCACCGAGTTTCCTACCCAGGCTGGCTTTGAACCATGATCCTAAGATCTCAGTCTCCTGAGTAGCTAGGATTATAGGCGTGAGCTATCGGTACCCGACCTTTAAGTTATTTTTTTAAAAAAAGCATTTACATAATACATCTATGGTTAACTATCAGAATTTCACTACACTAAACAGATATTGCCAGGGAATCCTCCTGCCTTACCTTCCTAAGCAGCTAGAACTACTGGCATGCATCACCATGATCAACTTAAAACATTCATATATAATTAACTAATTCATAAAACATTTATTTCAAACTTTTATACCAAGTACTGTGAAAAAGGCTGAAACACAGTATGTACCATCCCTTAAATATTTTAATGTTTCCATTCTTGAGGCTTGGCTGCCATAAACTAAATATTCCTTTCACCTAGTTGAAATAAAATTACCTCATTTTCTTAAACATTCAATTATCTCACAGTTCTCAAGACCTGAAGCTGTTTCCTAGATGGTTTTATTCTTTTTAGTAAATAAAGCTTTATGAGGGACAGTGCCCAGGCCCAGAGTTCAGGCCCCCACAATTGGACCAAAAAAAAAAAAAAAGTAAATAAACCTTTATTGACCACAACCATAGTAATTTGCTCATGGTATTATTTGTGTCTGTCTTCATATCTTAATAGCAAAAGTTTAACTGCCATTAAATGCCACTTTAATGTAGGATAGGGTAAATATAGTTAATAATCTAATACTTCAAAATAGCCATGAGGATTTTGAATGTTCTCTCACAAAGAAAGCATAATGTTTAAGAGATAGATAAGCCAATTACCCTGATTTGATCATTACAAAATGTATCACATAAATATGTAAAATAAAAAATTTTAAAAACAACCCCACACCTGTAAACATAACTACTGAAGGCTTCAGAAAAAATAAATAGTAAGGGATTCAGAAATCCTTCAAGCATAATTCATGGAAATTCTAACAATGAAAGCCTGACTGAAATGGGTTCACAGGAGAATGGGGATATAGGAAATGGAAGCATCAAAACCAGTGATTATGTTACAAGGAGAATACAGAGTGTTGTAGTTGATACAAGATTATGTCAACACTTTTATTTTAAAATGAGTTAATATTTTTCTTTTCCAACTGCAATGATTTTCATGATAATCTCATCTAGTTTTATGGCTATAAAAATACCATTCATCAACTAGGCACCAGTGGCTCACGCCTATAATCCTAGCTACTCTGGAGGCTGAGATCTGAGGATCACGGTTGGAAGTCAATCCCAGCAAGAAAGTTCATGAGACTCTTTTTTGTTTTTGTCAGTTGTAGGACTTGAACTCAGGGCCTAGGCTCTATCCCTGAGCTTTTCACAAAACGCTAGCATTCTACCACTTTGAGCCACAAGCACAACTTTTGGTTTTCTGGTAGTTAACTGCAGATAAGAGTTTCACAGATGGGGCTGGGAAGGTGGCTCAGTGGTAGAGCACTTGCCTTGCATGCCTGAGGCCCTGGGTTCGATTCCTCAGCACCACATAAGAAAAAAGCCAGAAGTGGCACTGTGGCTCAAGTGGTAGAGCACTAGCCTTGAGCTGAAGAGCTGAGGGACAGCGCCCAGGCCCAGAGTTCAGGCCCCACAACCAGATTTCCACCCCCCCCCCAAAATGCAATGCCCAAACTAGTACTTAAAAGAAAACAGAAACATGAATCTTCAGGTCATTATGCTAAAATGTGAATTAAGGCTTACGTCTGTTTGAAGAGCTAGTTCCACTTGGTTATGATAAGAATCTAATAATTCTTCAACAGGGTGTCTGAAACAAAGAACAGTTATTGTGACTGAAGAATACCATGTATAAAAATGATTATTCAAATGAAAGTAAATATATTCTAAAATAAAGTTTAAAAATCTGCAAGTAATGCTACTTGTTATATACCTTGTCATGACTTCTTTGTAAGGTTTTTCTATTTGATTCGGGAACTTGTTTAAATCCACAGGTGTTTCATCATCTTCTGCCTAAACAAACACATATACACAAATATTTACAAAGAAAAAAGCAAAAATCTACGTTTGATCTTTCTATTGCCAAGTTAAATATGTTAGATATAGTTAAGAGGACGATATAATCTTCAAATTCAAGTAAATTTTTAGAACTGAAGGCAAAATAGTATCAAAATTTGTTATGTAGCCAGGCGCTGTGGCTCATGTCTATTATAATCCTAGCTACTTAGGAGGCTGACATCTGAAGATCATGGCAGGAAAGTCTGTGAGACTCTTATCTCCACTAGGCTATTTAAAAAAAAGAAAGAAAAAAAGCCCAGAATTGAGCTGTGGCTCAAGTGGTTCAGTGCTAGCCTTGAGCTACGAACACTGTCAAGGCCCTGAGTTCAAGCCCTAGGACTAGCTTTACACACTTACACCCCCCCATATATATATATATATATATATATATATAAACAAAATTGGCACAAAAGTGAATCAATATTATGATAAAACTAGAAAATATAAATACCCTTAAGTCTAGTTTCTATTATGTACATAGCTCTTAAGGCCAAAACCGAGGTGGGGACTAGATGGGAAAGAGATCATCCGAAGTATTGCTTTATTGTTTCTGATGATAATCAAGTTCCCTTCCATTTGCTACTTGCCTCCAACGAAGACAACACTGGTCTCTTTATCATACCAATTTACACAAGTGCATTCAAGAAAATAATTACTTACAAAACTGAAATTGAAAGTACCAGTGAATGTGAAAATGTGCTGACTTTTATTAAAGTTTCCATATAATTAAAATTAATTCTACTTAACACAGGTGTAAAATCCTACAAAATAAAGGAAGGATAAATGAAAATGATAATTTTCCATCGATAATTCTACCAAATGAAAAACATTGTCTACAGAGATTAAAAATTTATGTCATAGAGGGTTTATATAGTAAACCAACATGGTTTTTACTATGGATCTTATGAAGTGGATTTTACGTGTGTGTGTGTGTGTGTGTGTGTGTGTGTGTGTATGTGTGTCTTTCTGTGTGTGTGTGTGTATGTCTGTGTGTCTGTGTCTGTATCTGTGTGTAAATCTGGATCAAGGCTTGAACTCAGGGCTTAGGTGCTATTCTTGAGCTTCTTTTGCTCAAGGCTAATGGTCTACTACTTGAGCTACAGCTCCACTTCTGGCTTTTTTGGTAGTTTAGCAGATTTAGAGTCTGCCAAGGCTGGCTTCAATGATCCTCAGATCTCAGCCTCCTGAGTACTTGATTACAGGCGTGAGCCACCAGCACCAAGTATAATTTACTTTTATGAATATTTATTTTATTTTATTTTAAAGATGCTATACAGAGGCGTTAGTTACATGAGTAAGGTAATGAGTACATTTCTTGTCAAGCATTGTTACCCTCTACTTTGTTGTTTTATCAATCTTTTTTTCCTCCAACCATATTTAATACTCAAAAATCTTTTCTTCCTAATTCTTCTTTTAACTGACCCTGATGCTCTCACTCCTTTATAATTTTTTGTCTTTTGCCAGTCATGGGGCCTGAACTCTGGGCCAGGTTACTGTCCCTCAGCTCTTCAGCTCAAGGCTAGCATTCTACCACTGGAGCCACAGCGCCACTTTCAGCTTTTTCTGCTTATGTGGTGCTGAGAATCGAACCCAGGGCCTCATGCATGCAAGGCAAGCACTCTACCACTGAGCCACCAGCCCTAAAATTATTATAAACCAAACTTTTAATTCCTCTACTCTGAGGAGTAAGTTATGTTAGTTAACCTCCATGACCAAAAGTTTTCCTACTCTGCTGAGACTCTCATTGGGAACAATTACTACTTCATCCTGGTCCATCTCAGAATTCTGTGAAAACGTGCAAAATGTAAACTGGCTAATTAGCAGTATTATTCAGATCTACCAAATGTAATTTAGTTATAAGTTACACACACACTTACTGTTCGGGCCAATTTCTGGCACATTGCACTGAAGGTCAAGAGTTGTAATTTAATCTCTGTGTCCCATTTTCGACAATTTTGAATATGCTCATGACTTCCAAGGCAATGGCTACTGTTGAAATAAATTATTCACCAGTATTATTCTACTCAAATTAGAATTTATAGAGGTACAAGTAAATATACTGAATCTACATTAGAAACTGAAGGCACTGGTAAAATATGGAGACAGGTTTTTAACCCAGTGTGAACATTTAAATACAGGCACTGTTCTACTTGATAACAGTCAGAGTAAAGAAGGATCGGGTTCAAAGCTGGTCCAAGCAGAACAGTTTGAGACTCTTAAAAAAAAAAAACAACAACAAACTTTAGGGCTGGAAATGTGGCTTAGTGGTAGAGTGATTGCCTAGCATACATGAAACTCTGAGTTCAATTCATCAGTACCACATAAACAGAAAAAGCCAGAAGTGGTGCTATGGATCAAATGGTAAAGACTTGAGCAAAAGAAGCTCAGGGACAGTGCCAAGGCCTTGAGTTGAAGACCCAGGACTGGCAAAAAAATAAAAAACTCAGCAAAAAGTAGTGTTGGAGGTATGGGTCAAGAACTACAACACCAGCCAAGCAAACAAGCCAATAATGTACAAAAGACCTTGAGTTTAAAACCCCAGTACTGCCCCTACCCCTAAAAATAAGGACAAGACATTTCGGGAGACCTAGGAGGTTAAAATAACTAGATTAAATGCTAGATAAGCTATCTTAACTGTTAAAAGACTGATCTGGGGGCTGGGAAGGTGGCTCAGTGGTAGAGCGCTTGCCTTGCATGCTCGAGGCCCTGGGTTCGATTCCTCAGCACCACATAAGCAAAAAGAAAAAAGTCGGAAGTGGCGCTGTGGCTCTAGTGGTAGAGCGCTAGCCTTGAAGAGCTGAGGGACAACACCCAGGCCCAGAGTTCAGGCCCCACGACCGGACCCAAAAAAAAAGAAAAGACTGATCTGATCAATCTTTTCATTGTATGAATAAAGATTCATATAATAATTGATATAATGGCTTTTGTATGTAAAGTAACATTACATACTACAAAGGGAAAACAGTCTACAATGATGTGACTGACTGTTCACAAATGAAAATAATCATAATATCCACTTTTATCCAGTTGCCCACAATTGTTCCCTTAAGATCTCTGAAATTTCACTTACTCACAGCTCAACTGATTCAAGGAATGAACTCAATAAGATGCTATGCAGTATAGGATTACAAGTTTAAACTAAAAAATCTCAAACCTAAGTCTTTAAAAATGAAATCTGTAGCCAGTTGTCAGTGACTCACATCTGTAATCCTAGCTACTCAGGAGGCTGAGATCTGAGGATCGTAATTCAAAGCCAGCCTGGGCAGGAAAGGCCGTGAAACTCTTATCTCCAATAAAACACCAGAAAACTGGAAGTGACTCAAGTGGTAGAGCACTCGCCTTGAGCTGAAAAGGTGAGGGACAGTGCTCAGGCTCAGAGTTTGAGCCCCATGACCACCAACAACAACAACAAAAAAAAGAAATGTGTAAAGATGGTATTAGTAGTTAAATAAAGAAACTTACTTCTGTAGAACTTCCTCTTGACCACACACTTTCAGAATATAGCTGCCAACATCAACTTGGTTCAAATCATCATGTACCCAGCAAAGGGCTTGCATTATAATGATATCTACAGTAGAACTCACTGTAAAAGAGTTAATCATCATTTTCATTTGCATACTTACCTCTAAGTATATATACATTTATTTAAGTATATATACATTTATTTAAGACTTTGATATGTATAATCTAAGATGGCTTCTATACATAGAAATATAAATGAAAGTCACAAAAGTAGGCTACATATATTTAAATTTTTTTGACAATTACACAAAGCTTTTTTATTTATCAAAAAGGTTCTTTCTTTGCTAGCAGTTTATAGACCACAGGCATCCTAGGCACACACAAACAGCTTCCTATTTTTATTTAGCTTTCTAACTCTTTGCCTTCAGCACTCTCATGACCATTTTCTACTCCTCAATAAAGAAAGTATGCTTGATTCTGTCCCAGACACATTTAGCACACAAGGAACCACCATAGGCCCTGCTAACATGATTTTCCATTTTAGACAATTGCATGAGGACTTTAGGTCTCATAACACAACCCCTCCCCCCATTTGGTATGGGCACACACCACACATAGATGCTTCCATCTTCAATAAAAGAGAGATTGCCTTCTCAATTTCTAATTAAATTATCAACCTCATCTTCCTGTACTTGTAGCCGAATTTTCTTGGGAGGTGGGTCTGGAACTTCCAAAACCATTCATCTTTTCCAGACTCCAGAAATTCCTGTAGAGCACTGGGCAACTCTCTGTACAGAAGTTTGTAAGGTGCATGAAAATCCATACCGCAAAATCTGAAGATACATCTTGGACAGGTACCAGAACTGAGCAACAAGTGGGCCACAAATTTGTTTTCTTCTGTCAGTGGAAACATTGTTGATAATTATAACTCTTCTGGCCAACAAGGCCACTCCAGCAGGAGAGAGAAGGGTCTCTAAAATGATCTCTTTCAGCTACAACTCTCCCACCAGGGGCTGAAGCTCTCACCTCAGACCTCCCAGCCTCACCTTCTCTAGATGCTGGAGCCCAGGGGTTTAACCCCTTATAGCCCAGAAGAATAGGCATGAATAAGAAAATCACAAGTGCCAGATGCTGGTGGCTCACATCTGTAATCCTGGCTACTCTGGAGACTGAGATGTGAGGATTATGGTTCACAGCCATCCTAGACACAAAAGTCTATAAGACATTTATCTCCAATGAAATACCAGAAAGCCAAAAATGGCTGGGCACCAGTGGCTCATACCTATAATCTAGCTATTCAGGAGTCAAGATCTGAGAATCATGGTTCAAAGCCAACCTAGGCAGAAAAGTCCATGAGATTCTTATATCCAATTAAACACCAAAAAGCCAGAAATGAATATGTAGCTCAAGTAGGAGAGCGCTAGCCTTGAGCATAAAAGCACAAGGACAGCACCCAGGCCCTGAGTTCAAGCCCCAAGATCAGTGTACACAGACAGACACTCATACACAAAAGCCCAAAGTGGAGGTGTGGCTCAAGCAGCACGGTGCCAGGCTTGAGGAGACGATCCCCCATGTTCAAGCCCTATTACACACACACACACACACACACACACACACACACACACACACACGCATGCCACAACCATACTATAAACTGCTCCAGATATGATGGCATTCAGCAGGGTAGCAAGCAATGTTTTAAGACAAATTGTAAGGAATAAGAATCACTATTTGAAATTTGGTATTTACCTAGTAAAATCTACTTCTATCATAATATGGTTATAAATTTCTTAGAAACATATTGTAAATGTGTACATTTATGACTAAACATATATTTTTATATGTGTGTATATATATCCATATGTATATATATCCATATGTACATACATATGGATATTTGAAATTAGAATGGATTTGAATTCAGGGCCTTATACTTGCTCTACCACTGCAGTCATATCTCTGGACTTTTTGGTTTTCAGTTAACTCTTCAGATAGGGCTTGCTTTTTGCCTGAGCCAGATCAAACTGCAAACCTACCAATCCCTCACAGTAGCCAGGATAACAGATATGTAACACCACTTGTTTGCTGAAATGAGGTCTTGTTAACTGTCTTTATTTAATACTAATTGGGACTTAAACTCAGGTTTTTACACTTGCTAGGCAGGTGCGCTAACACTTTATCTATGCCTCTCCTTTGGTTATTTGGTTATTTTTGTCATAGTATCCCCTGTTTTAGCTCAAGTGGCCTTGGACTTCATTCTTCCTACTTATACTTCAGACACAATTGGAAAGGTAAAACCAACATACTCAACTTTTTTGTTGAGATAGGGGTCCACTAACTTTTTGTCTAGAAGAGCCTTGAGCTATGCTCCTCTCTATCTCCATCTCCCAAGCAGGTGAAATTATAGACCCATGATTATCATTCCAATTTTGATTATATAAATTGAAACACTTACTATAAATACTTATTTATGCTTATTTCTAAGTGCCTACTTACTTTTCCTTCCATCTTAATACAAATTTTTATTGCATTCTGAAGATTTAAATATTTTCCAGTCAGATAAGGTATATCTAAACAAATTAGCTTTTCCTTTAGAAACTAAAAGAATGACTACACTAGTTGACTAACATTTTTCTGTTAGAAATTTATATTTTTTCCAAAGGGAATTCCAAAGTGGGAAGCCACAAAAATAAGTCATTAAAAGTATGTATGGCCTAAGTCTTAAATCAAAGTAGTACAGATATATTGCATTTTATTCCACAGTTGGAATCTCTTTATAATCATATGCATCATAAATAAATCTAAAGAGAATAAAAGTAGTTTCTAAACCTATAACAATTTTTAAAACTATACATTAGAAGTACACCTCTAGAAGAATATGTATACTGTACATGGAACTATTCTTTACTTAGAGATTTGCAAGATATTTGGAGCTTACATCTCTTTATAAAAAAAGCATTTTTCTAGGTCTTAGTGGCTCACACCTATAATCCTAGCTACTCAAGAGGCTGAGATCTGAAGATGGAGGTTCAAAGTCAGCCTAAGCAGGAAAAGTCCATGAGACTCTTATCTCCAATCAACTACCAAAAAGCCAGAAATGGCATTGTAGCTCAAACTGGTAGAGCATTAGCCTTAAGCACAAAAACCTAGGCCATGAGTGCAAGCCCTAGGACTTGGCACCATACACACACATTTGTCTTTCCATAAATTGAGACACAAAATTAAAATATAATTAGTATAATTAGCTTTGCTATCAATCTAATGTTTTTGAGTCTTAGCCAAGAAGCACTGATTCACCTAATGTTTTTGAGTCTTAGCCAAGAAGCACTGATTCACCAAGTATTATTTGGCATACTATAGAGGCATAAACAGTTACAAAGGGAACCTTTGGTCCTAACCAAAAAGTTATCCATATGAATGCCATATTTTTGAAAGGAACTCCTAATGATAACCAAGTTAGTTTATTAAAGAAAAGGTTATACTAGTATTTTAAACAGTATTTTAAGCAATAAAAAATGCTTAAGAAGTTACAAACCTACCATCGCAAGTAAAAGTAACTGGCAGTTGAAATCCTTCAATCTCAATGGAGACCTTCACACTTGCATTTTCTCCACATAGGTTTCTTTGCACTGTGACTGGACTTAAAAAGTAGCCTGGATTTGTGCAGTGATCAGTATATGGAAATTTGGTCTTCAATCTGTTCACAAGAAAGAAGATACTGAATTCCTTTTCACAGAAAAGCTACTTTGAGAGTCCTGAACAAGGCCTTACATGCTTACAGCCACTCAATTCTGTGTCTTTGTTCAACTCTAGAGCAGCTCATGGAATTACAATTAATGAGCCCCAGTAACCAGCATTTGCCTTTTAAATGAAAGAAACCCAAGGAAAAGGAAGAGATTAACTATTGCCAGAATATCTTTGCAAACACTGTCACATTACTCAAGCACAGACTACATAAGTGGCCCTAAATGAGGATCTGCTTCAGATTCTTTTGCCATACTATTATGAAACAAAAAAGTAGATGTTTTACGAATTAATGATAATAGACAATATATTCTAAAATTATCATAATCAAAGAGATAAAAAAATTGCTGTCTTCTAAAAATCATTTATTTATTTATTTATTTTCCAGTCCTAAGGCTTGAACTCAGGGCCTGGGCTCTGTCCCCGAGCTTCTTTTTTTTGCTCAAGGCTAGAATACTACCACTTGAGCCAGAACCACTTCCAGCCTTTTCTGTTTATGTGGTACTGAGGAACTGAACCCAGGGCTTCATGCATGCTAGGCAAGCCACTCTACCACTCAGCCACATTCTTAATCCCAAATCTTTTCCTTCCTTCCTTCCCCTCTCCCTCTCTCTCTCTTTTTCTTTTTTTTTTTTTTGTTGGTTGTGGGATTTGAACTCTGGTGCTGTCCCTCAGTTCTTCAGCTCCAGGCTGGTGCTCTACCACTTGAGCCACAGTGCCACTTCCGATTTTCTGAGTAGTTTATTGGAGATGAGAGTCACACAAACTTTCCTGCCCCAGCTGGCTTTGAACCGTGATCCTCAGATCTCAGTCTCCTTATTAGATAGGATTACAGGTATGAGCCACCAACGCCAGATTTTGTGTTTTCATAAGGGCTTTACTTTCCCAAAATGATTGGTAAGAAGCATTACATGCAAAGGTATTATAGGGGCAATACAGTTAAATTTAAATACATGCATGTGGCACATGGTTCATTTATAAATAGAACAACTGTTATCAAAAGATAGTATCAAAAAATGAGGAGGGAGCTAGCTCTGATGCCATTAAACTCTTAAGATTTATTTAATGACTTTTCCTTGAATGTTGAAAGGTAAGTTCTGATATATATATATATATATATATATATATATATTACCTCCCTCTCTTGAGGTGGAGATTAAATAGGGCCTCATGAAAACTAGGCATGCACTCTACCACTGAGCTACACCTCTAGCTCTCCATGGTTTTCATGGAGCTATAAATGGAATAAATAAATGCTGCAAATGTCTATTTGTTTATACAGAAATTAAATTATCTCAATTATATATACAGAATCATTTGAGATGATAAGCATAAAGGATATATGATAATATACATAAATGAAGAATAAGAACAGAGATGAAAGAAAAGCAACAAAACAAGATTACATAAATTTGAATCCTAATTGTATCAATTAAGAGCTGTGTGAACTGAGGCAAATTATTGACTTGTTTCTTTTTCTTCTTGCTGCTTCAGTTTCTTTTTCTACAAACGGGATAATATTACTATTTACCTTCACAGAGTTGTGAAAATACACACTATAAGTTTATAAAGCACTAAATTCACTAAATCAATTGCCTATTTCATTATTAGTCTATATTCATTAAAATAATACACCTGAATTATGATCATAAGTGACACAAAAGGTCCAAAAGAGAAGAAAAGTAGTAAAGTAATTAATGTAATAAAACTTAAATTGATATTGGTATTGCACTCACACATGAACACTTTACTTTTAATGTTTGATTGCTGACAAGTTCATCTCTCTAGAACACAGTAGGCAAGAGCTTAATGGGATCCAGATTAAGATTCTAATTACACAGCAAATAGAGGCTATATACAAACCCAGAAGTGGGTCTTCAGCAGGATCTAAATCTGCAAATAGTATCTTCCCAGCCTTCAGAACTATGAGAAAACAGTCAAAGAGAGCTGGAAGGGAAGGGAAAGGAAAAAGGAGGGGAGAGGATGGGAAGGAAAGGGAAAAGAAGGGGAGAGGATGGGAAGGAAAGGGAGAGGAAAAAAGAGAGGGGAGGAAAGGGGAAGGGGAAGAGGAGAAGAAGAGAGATGGCATGCAATGAACTTGGCTTTGGAGGAAAAAATATCTCACTTTCTTCTATTTTCTAATTCATTTTCCTTTTTAAAAACAAGTCCTATTTATTACACATATGAATGTGCATAATGTCTCTGAATTATTCACCTAAAAAAAACAATTAAAATGGCAAGTTTGTTATATTTATTTTACTCCCGAAAAGAGAAGGTGAACAAAGGAGGAGGTAACAATGCTCGAAAGGAAATGTACTCATTACCTTACTCATGTAACTAACCCCTCTACAGTATTTTTACAACAAAAAACATTTATATATAAAAAAAAGAGCTCTCTCTGCTCTTGTCTAGCTCTTTCTCAGCTCTTTCCTTCTCTTCTCTTTCCCAGCTCTCTTCTCTTTCCTAGCTGGCTCTTTCCCACCTCTTTCCCAGATGCTCTCTTTTCTAGCTCTTTTCTCTCTTTCCCAGCCCTTTCCCCACCTCGTGGAGGGCCAAGATGGCCTGGTGCCAGCCAGAACCATGAATAAACCTATTCCTTACCTGAATACCACATGTGTGGTGCTGTTCTTACTCAGCTATTTCTTTTTAAAAACCTAACATCAATAAAAAAAAGAAAAGATGGGGCTGGGAAGGTGGCTCAGTGGTAGAGCTCTTGCCTTGCATGCATGAGGCCCTGGGTTCGATTCCTCAGCACCACATAGGCAAAAAGAAAAAAGGCGGAAATGGCGCTGTGGCTCAAGTGGTAGAGCACTAGCCTTGAGGTGAAGAGCTGAGGGACAGCGCCCAGGCCCAGAGTTCAGGCCCCATGACTGGACCCCCCCCAAAAAAAAAAAGAAAAGAAAAGGTGATTAAAAATATTTTGGTTGTACTGGTGATTATATTCAGAGCCTTGTGTTTATTCTGCAAATATTGTACAACCTGAGCCATGTTCCTAATCCGGTAACTTATGTAAATAAGCCCTTTTTATACTTGCTTGATACAACGAAGATATGAGGTCCAGAAAATTACAAAGATTTCCTTTATATTTCTAATGTCAGATATAAAAGACTGTTAAATTTGGGTTGTTTTATAAACTTAAATATAATTAAGTTAATAATTGCTGAGTAAATTATACATTCTAAATACAAATAGAACAAATAGGATTTCTGTGTGTGTGCCAGTGTTGGGGCTTGAACTCAGGGCATTGGCACTGTCCTTTAGATTTTTGCTCAAGGCCAGAGCTCTACCACTTGAGCCACACTTCTACTTTCAGCTTTTTGGTAGTTAAGTGGAGATAAGAGTCTCACAGACTTGCCCCCAGTGCTGCCTTTGAACCTAGATCCTCAGATCTCAGTTTCCGAAGTAGTTAGGATTACAGGCTTAAGCCAATGGTTAAGCCTGGCTAAGATAGGGTTTTTGTTTTTGGTGATCAATCACAGAGAAGTCTCATGGACTTTTCTTCCCTGGGCTGGCTGGCTGACTGTGACCATGATCCTCAGATCTCTGTTTCCTGAGTAGCTAGGATTATAGGCATGAGCCACCAGCACCCAGCATCAAATAGGATATTTGTTACAGCTACTCCAAACTACACATTATGGTTTGATGTGCTTCAGTAGCTACCTGTAGAACATATGGGTATATTTTTTCTGTGTGTGAGGCTTGAACCTGCTCAGGCCCTTGAGCTCTCACTTGGCTTTTTCACTCAAGGTTGGCAGTCTACTATTTGAGGCACAATTCCCAATTTCAGCTTTTTGCTGGCTAATTAGACATAAAGAGTCTCACAGACTTTTCTCCCTAGGCTGGCTTCAAATTATGATCTTCAGATCTCAGTCTCAGGTCTCAGATTACAGCTATGAGCCACCAGTGCCCAGCTAAAGCACATTATTTTTAAACTTAAACTCTTGCTTTTCTAAAGGTTCCATTAGTCTTTTATCCAAAGAAAATGTTTTGTTCAGGTGAAACTCCAAATAAGCTAAAGAGAATTATGTTTGTACTTTTATTTCCATCAATGAACTATGTTTGCAATGAGTATTTACCAGAACTTTTAGAAGCAGAGGGTTTTTTTTTTTTTGGGTCCGGTCATGGGGCCTGAACTCATGGCCTGGGCACTGTCCCTCAGCTCTTCAGCTCAAGGCTAGCAGTCTATCACTTAAACCACAGCGCCACTTCCGGCTTTTTTTCCTTTTGCTTATGTGGTGCTGAGGAATCGAACCCAGGGCCTCTGGCATGCAAGGCATGGGCTCTACCACTGAGCCACCTTCCCAGCCCCAGAAGCAGAGGTTTTTGAAGCTATATTCTAAGAATATTTGTTGCTCCCTTTTGGCTGTTTGGGGTAGTTTTATTTGAAGTGGCTCTGTTTTTTCCAACATGTTTTTTTTTAATGTAAAAAATATATTTGTGCTATAAGTTTGTTTTAGACACGAGATTTCACTGTACATAGTCCAAACTGTCCTCTAGCTTGTGATCTTCCAGTAAATCAGCTCTCTTATGGGTTAAGCCTAGAACTAGCTCTACCATTGAGGTACATCACTTCAGCCTGTCCTTTACTTTTTGAAGTCTCCTAAAATTAATCATTTAATCATCTTAATTCAGCTATGAAATTAATGTCAGGCTAATAGAATATTTATTCACAGTTAAGATTATGTAACAGAATGAATAATTTGTTTGGTTATTTTTTTTTTGGGTCCGGTCATGGGGCCTGAACTCTGGGCCTGGGCACTGTCCCTCAGCTCTTCAGCTCAAGGCTAGCACTCTACCACTTGAGCCACA